GTTTTCAATGATTCAGACTTCTACTCTTCAACTTGTCTTGTTAAGCGTAAAACCTCTAAAATAAGCCATCTAAACATCAATCAGCTGACTGCTAATTAGAAACGAAAGATTAAACCCCGATGTTTATTCTTTTAAAGATAGCAGTTAAAATTTTGAAATGCTCCAGGCTGCAATATGTTATGGCTTAAATGTTCAATTTTACATAAAATGCTTATTTTCTTATACTCAGAAGACAAACTGCATTTACGTTTGCTGCACAAACATTCCCAGTGTTCTTTTAAAATCTTTGTTAGATATTTATTGCCTCTGTGCACAAAATCATGCCAGTCTGTTGCAAATAGCAATTTTGGGCAACTAATTAACAAAAATAATACCCAATGTAATTATACGTTTCTTCTTTTTTACCTAAAGGATGTTTTGTTGCTTTCACAACTGCATAATGATCATCTTCACAAGTCTTTCTGACAGTGGCACGACTAGCTTAAGACAAATTTGCAGGAGTCAACACATCATGTGTGTCATCGACCTGCTAAAAAACTGTCTAACTGCTAAAATAGATTCAAGGTTGCACATCAAAACAATGCTGTAATTAATGAGATAAAGTAAAACACGAGGATGGCTGAAAACAAAAGAAGAAAATGGACCTTTTACTCGACAGATCGTTTGTTTATTTTTTGCATAATTGCTGCCAGAAAGGCAATATTTTTGGACAGCATGACGCAAGTCAGAATGAACACAGTAATTAGTGTTGAGGAAACTGCAGGAAGCTGGGAGAGAGAGAGAGAAAGACACTGAGATGTGGGAGCGGGGACATTTGAATCCCCTACGGTGTTATTAATGTCACCGGCTGCACAAAGGCAGTGGTCCACTCCTGGTCCACTGCAGTCAGACGACAATAGCTTTCAAAGGAGACATCAGACTTTTAGATTTCTGCTGCTGAGTCAACAATAAATCAATACACTGTAATTTCTCAAAGTTAAAACCCTGAGAGTAAAAAAAAATGAAAAGTCTGAGCAGAAGTCAATTTAATACTAATAAAGTGTTTTAAAACACAAAATTTTATCATTTTAATAAGTTAAGTTTGTTAACTGGAGAGAGTTTAAATCAATATTAATTTGCAGTCACTGCTCGTAAAGAGACAAGGAGGCTCGACGATCATAAATGTAGTGACAGGGTTTCAGGGGTCATAACACCACCCCCTGGTGTCCCCTGGAGCAAGACAGAAACAATAATGATTACTGCATTTGTCTTCAGTGAGGACTCCTTTTATTGGCGGGTAAAAAGCTTCTCCTTCTTCCTTCCTGTTCCCAGCTAGTGATTGAGCCTACTTGTGCAGGTTTTTGTACCGCCTTGAGATCTCAGCCAGTCACAGCTGCAGGGATGATTACTCACCTGCAACTCAGCTCTTGTTACTGATTGTTTTGTTGGTGACTCTTGGCCATTTTCTTGAGGATATTTTATAGTTCTGTGATTTTTTGAAGAAACTCTCTGTGTGATTATGTTGTGAAGCTGTAGAACCACTTTTTGTCACATCTTGTTGTGAACCATCTGTCTAACAATCCCTCTGGGCTTCCGTGTACCTGCCCACTCTGCTCCACCTCCCATTCAAACCTCTAACAGTGAGAGAAAACATGGCATCTTTGTGAAATAGTATTCTTTAAAGGTGTGGCTGACTGAAAAAACAACATTTTTAAACATTATTTTGGATTATTAGAGTAAGAAAAGTGTAGAATGGCTTCTCTGGGTCAAAAACAAGGTCCTAGCCCCAAGTGGAGGAGTTCTGATATGTCGGGGTCTTGCTCACAAGTGAGGGAAAAATGCAGGATCTGCAGTGATGCGGGCGCTGTACCGGTCCATCGTGGTGAAGAGACCTGAGCTGGAAGGTAAAGCTCTCGATTTACCAGTCGATCTACGTTCCAACCCTCATCTATGGTCATGAGCTTTGGGTAGTGACCAAAAAACCAAAGTCACTGCTGTGAGGAGCATGTGAGTCCTCTCCTCCGCTGCTCCAGTATGACAAATGGCAAATGGCCTGTATTTGATATAGCGCCTTCTAGAGTCCTGGAACCCCTCAAGGCGCTTTACAACACAATCAGTCATTCACCCATTCACACACACATTCACACACTGGTGGGGATGAGCCACAATGTAGCCACAGCTGCCCTGGGGCGCACTGACAGAGGCGAGGCTGCCGAGCACTGGCGCCACCGGTCCCTCTGACCACCACCAGCAGGCAACGTGGGTTAAGTGTCTTGCCCAAGGACACAATGACAGCGACAGACTGGGCAGGGCTCGAACCTGCAACCTTCCGATTACGGGGCGAGCACTTAACTCCTGTGCCACCGTCACCCCGTGACAAATGTTCTTATAAATATTTTTACACTTGACTTTATCTCCTGCCTCTTGTGTCAGCACTTTTCTAATTAAATCAAGCTTCATAACACCGAACAGTTCCAAACATGTCATTTATAAAACTTGCACATGCGCAGAACAGGGTCTGAAAGTAGAGTGTGTGAATTTCTACACAAACTTTGTGATTTATAGAAAAAAACTTGACATGAAAATGTGTAAAAACTTTAACAGAACCCTGACCTTGGCGTAAGCACGTCTTGTAGACGGGCAAAACTGGCAGTGAAGCTGGTGAAATGATACATTTTCACTCATGTAGATCCTCACAACGATCATCATTTGCATCCCACAGCCACATCTTGATTCTCACCTGAGAAAAAGGTCATGAAGTGTGTGAAAACACACATTATTAAAAAAAACTTTTTGCAAATTGTATCACAACGATGGTTCTCTTTACTTCTAATCTGAATGAAGGGGTTTTGTGGATGGTCTTTTCCGCCCACTTTAAGCAAGAAAAAGAGCCAATACTAATGTGCCCTGGAAGGCTGATTTACATTATTACAATATAAACAGGTTTTGTGTTTTTTCCTATGTAAAACACACAAATGCTTGAAAAATGATTTAATGCAAACAGTTTACAGGAGCTGGATTACCAGCCTACATGTATAATTTATTTTCTTTTATTATGGAGTACAAATTTGGTAATGTTGTTGCAGTTGCAGCAATGCAGTTTGTAAATCACTTGAGGCACAAATAAACATACAATGACCTCATTTTTATTACCTTTTGCAAATACTTATTTACATATGGCTGGAACAGCCTTCAGCTCCATTGTGGTTATCTGGGGGCAAACAATATCTCATTTTTATCACTAATCCCACCAGAATACACTCATTTAGCATCATTTTGCATTATACATATTTACAGAAAGTAAACCTGACATTCAAAGAATAGATGTATGTTTAATTTACATTTCTGAAAATAAAATAACAAATAATAAAATAAATCTAGAAGTGGGCTTGTTCCTCCCTTTTTAAAATCTCCCCCTCTTTTGGTTCCCCAGTTGTGCTCCTTCCCACCCCATGGAACATCTGCAATAAAATGGTCACCCACACTGAGCCGCAAGTACTCAAAATGCATGAATCATCCTGGAGAAGGAGGGGGAGACAGAGGCTGTGCACGTAGATGTGTGAACCTCTTTATCTCAGTTTATGGGTCGCTCAGTGACATATGAGAAAATAATTAGTTTTTACGTGTGCACCGTGCTGTACTTCCAGAAGAATGATTGCGTATTTGTGTGTGTGTGTGTGTGTGTGTGTGTGTGTGTGTGTGTGTGTTCCTGATCCTATGCTTCAGGGCTGTGTGGGCAGAAGCATCCTGAGATGCCAGTGTAAATTGATTTCCAGAATCCAGACACAAGGTGCGATACCGCAGAAAAGAGATGTGCACTTCTGCACCCTTTTATGAAGGTCTGCAAAATGTTTTATGGTTGTGTGTGTGTGTGTGTGTGTGTGTGTGTGTGTGTGTGTGTTTGAGAGAGGGCAAAAGAGAAGAGGCATATAAATATTCACAAACGATGCAATGACATGAGACACTTGATGTATCTGTCTTCACACTGACAAGAGATTTAGGAAAAAATAAAAAGTGAAGCGTTTGTTGGTGATAAATGTCCAAATTCAACCATTTATCTACAGAAAGCAGCTGTTTATTTGGTTTGTTCATCATCTCAGATGTTAATTTGTGTTTTTTGTTCATTCATGAGCAGAGACAGATGAGTTGTGTCATCATAAGTGAGGAATAGAGGGAAGAAGAATGAAACTGACCCAACATTCAGAAGCCAAATGTGTCTGGAGGTGACATGGCTTCTTTTGTGTCAGTTTTCATGTGGTGCAGTGATACCAACTGGCTAATGATAGATGGTGGCTTTTAAATCTGCATGTAATTACCTCAGAGTAATTAATATTGATTTTTAAATCAGCCAAGATGAACAAATGGGGTGTTTTCTTCTTTAAAATGCTGCATGCAAACAGCTTCCCTCTAAAAATCTATTATAATTTAGACAAAAGGGATGAAAATAGCTTTAAAACGTGTATTCTAGTGTCAGTGGGAATAAAGTGGCTCACATTTATATATGTATTTATTTTTTCACAGCCATTATGAGCTCTGAGGTTTACTCTGGGAGCTGTCCCACTGCTGTGGTGCTGAAGCTATCCCCTCATCCTTCTTCCCAACTCTCTCCTCTGGTGGTTCCCCTCCTCTCTGTAATTGTAAATAACACACCAACTAGATTGTTGCACGTTGTTTTAGACATGCAAATTAACGTCAAGGTTTGGTCTTAGAATTAAAAAAGGTTCATGGAAAATACTGAAGAAGAAAATGACTAAATTTTAGTTGAGCACAGCATTGAGCCCCTCAATAAATCCATGTTGGTCCCTAACTTCTGATGGAGTCGCACAAACATCAGCTGATACTAATTAAATGCGTTTTCAGCCATGCTTGTGAGAAACAAACCAGTACTATAATAATGCCAGAGGCTGATTTAATAGCCATGACGCGCTTACACGGTGAGGATGTTGCAGGGTGACAGCAGCAGCAGCAGCAGCACTGCGTTGGGGGTGGTGATGAAGGGGCTGGGTTACCAGCACTTGAGCGTAATTCCATGTGGGACGAGGATGGGTGGGTTTAAGTGCAGCTGTCGGGTCTTTTCTTCTCACACGCTCTGCTGTGCGCTAAGACTGAAGACGCAAATCAAAGCGCAGTCCACCTCTCCATGCGATGCGCAGCAGGTCGGTGAGGGCGCATTCTCTCCCCGCATTCAAAGGCTGCATGGCCACTTAACTAAGTGCGCTTCAGGTTTTTTAAAATTTGAGAGTGTTCCCTCACTCATTGATCCCTCCCTCCCTCCTCTCTCCCCTCCATCCATCTCCAGCTTCAACATTTGTGAAGTGGCTGCCTCTCCCGGTCGGACCGGAGGCCGTCTCCTGGTCTCTGATCTGGTCTCAGGAGACGCCGGAGTCGCGGCGCGCTCAGTCGGGGCCAGGCTGTGCGCCTCTCGGATCACGCCCGAGCCGACCCGAGCTCTGGTGACGGAGATGATGGAAGGAGACGTTATGGACAAGCTAGAGGACATGTCTTCCGTGTACGACTTCGACCCGATCACCGGCAACATCCCCGCCACCAAGGTGGAAATCACCGTTTCTTGCAGGTGAGTTGTCGATGGCGTCCGCGCGCGGAGAGCGCAGCGCAGTCCGGAAAACTTCGAAAAAAGTTGCGCCACACCCTTTTCTCATCATTTAGTTTTGTTAACACAACGATTTTAACTAAAATGCATGCAGCCTATAAAGCCGCAGCTCGATTTTTGAACTTTCCCGTAGATTTTCTAGTTCTGCTGAAATCATGTAACGGCAGTAATTCACTCAGTCACATCTGTGCATGCATTTTCCCCAAGAAAGTCAAAAGTTTCATCCCTTCACATGCTGAAGCTTTAACTACAAACAAGAGTTGTGCTATTTTTCACGTGCTCTTTGTGGTATACAGTGCACCAGACACATCCCTCACTGTAACACCCTTCCCAGCTGAAAGCCTCATCTGTACTGTGACATGCTGCTTTCAGCATCAGCACATCTCTGAAAGCTCTTCTGCTCCTGCATTCTTTAAAAAGAACTGTTAAATTTTAAAAGCTTTGCATCACATTCACCGTGTCCATGGCCTCACTCCCAAGCTATTTCATTTTCAGAAAGTGTCTCAAGACAAAAAGGAAAAAAAAAATAGTCAAAGCAATCTTTAAACTCTTCTTACAAGGGACGGTTTTAAAGGTAGGCTTCCAATGCCTTCCACCTCTTAAGCCTTGTCATGTGTGGGTACACACACATACATTTTTCACACACGACACACACAGGCTTGTGTTTTTGGTCTTTGATTCTGGGTTTTAGCTTGGCGAGCCATCGAGGCTGAGTGAGTTGGAGAAGTAACAAGCTGCGAGTGCATTATTGATGGGCTCTCTGACCTTCAGGGAAGCTCACTTCAACATCTCTCAGTTAAGAGAGGAAAAACAGACGCTTGCAAGAAATTTGCTGAATGAACAACGGTTGTGTTGAGTCTTAAAAGAAGATGGCTAGAGAATAGGAAGCAAAATGTCGACATGTGTTATGACGATGGACTCTGTTGTTAGGCTGTGAAGTTTAAAAGACTTAAGTTTTTATTTATGTGCAATTAGGCACCATTCAGGTAAATGATGAGCTCCAATCTGACAAACCCTCTGCATTTATGCAAATGCTTGTGTGTTAGTGCATCTCTGCTTTGGAAGCGAGAGGGAGTAAGGTAGAGTGGTAGCGGCTTCGGGGGAGAAGAAGTCACTAATTGAAAGGAGAGAGGGTATATGCTTTTCCCACCTGCTTTACTGCCACCCAGCTCCTGTGTGTGAGAGAAGGAGAAGGGGGGAGGGACAGAGAAATGAAAGGTTGAAAGTTCGGCTCAGAAAAGCACACATTTAACATGCGGAAAATCCACATTCTGAATGCAAATGATGTGGAAGATAAAGAGAGCATGTAACTCACAATAATTAGACCCACTGGTCCTGCTGCTATCTCTATCCATGCACAAGGCGCTCAGAAAAGTTTGGCTTACAAAGATGCCTTCAGTTCATTTATGAGTCTTTTCATCTCCAGAACAATTCTAGTGAAGATTCTAGTGCAGTTGCTCAGTTTGGCTCGTATGTTTTAGGGTGTATCACTATCATTGTGCTGTTATTGGGCATTTCTTTATCATCATCAGTACATTTTAACGATGGTTTCTTGTTTGTCTTTGAGTCCATTCGCCTGCCCATGTTCTTTGTGCAAACAAAACCCCAGTTTCTTCAAACATGCTTTTATTTATTTATTTGCTTCTTTTGATGAGATCATTAGTCCACTAGGGCTGCTTCTAGAAAGAAGCAGATACATTCTTTTATTCTTTCACAAGAATCATTTTTGTATAAATGGATCATTGGACCGGACCCCACTTTGGGCACCAAGTGGAGGGATCTTGAGAGGATTAGGAACATCTATGACACGTTTAACCTTAACTAACAATAACACAGCTCTTTGTTAAATGCCATATTAGACAATGTTTGTACACTTTAAGCAGAAGTTGGGTCGCATGTATCTGCAGCTCTTAGGCCCTGTCCACACGTAGCCGGGGATCTGCCAAAATGTAGATATTTTTCTACGTTTTGGCCTGTCATCCACACGAAAACTGAGTTTTTTCACACGAAAACGGATCTTTTTAAAAACTCCGGCCAAAGTGAAGATCTGCGTTTTCTCCGTTTTGGGTGTCTGCGTGTGGACAGACAAAACCGGAGTTTTACGGTCCGCAACGTCACTTTCCGCGACAAAAAAAGCTGACATCACGTGTGCGACCTGTGTTTACACTAGCTGACAGCATGGATGCCCTCAGAGCTGCGCTCGCTTTATCAATTGTCCAAGCGCTTTTTGCTTGTTTGTTTTTGCAAGCAGAATTACTGCTCCTTGCAGAAGCAGGAAGACGAAAAATTACGCTGACTGGATACAATTCGGGGGAAGTACTGCCGCCTACAGGTCTGGCATGTCCTTAACAACGTATTTATCCAGGTACGTGGGGACAGTTTTTTTTAAACGAGGTGGTGTGGATGCAAGTTTTTGGAGGGGCGGATATTCGTTTAAAAAAAAACCCGGCTACGTGTGGACTAGGCCTTAGACAGATTGGTCACATCTGATTAGGTGATTTATGGTTCCTCTAAATACTTCATCCAGATGTTGCGTGAGTCAGATTGCCTTTTCAGGGCCAAGCTCTATGTTTGGTCATGTTTGCAGTTGCTCTGTTGTCATCCACTATATGTTCACTGTAAAACCCTCCAGCCATGATGATATCTGTTCTCTGAGGGTTAATACCCCCTATTAGAGGCTACACCCCTGCTTTTGACAATAGACTATTATCCAGACCAGTTTCAAAGAGAGAGGGGTGGATGGGCACTGGATCACAAAAGCAGGGGGAAAATGATGCATTCCCATTCAGTTTAGGAAAAGAACTGTATCATTTGGTAGCAGGAAGCTGGAAAAATGTTTCATTAGAAAGAAAATGGATTTATTTTATACAAAAAGTTTGAAGCAGTTTAAAGCTTGCGTGGTTTTTAGTTTCTCCTTGGTTTAATTTGGTCTTAGATCTCACATTTCCTACAGTTTGTACCTTCTGCTGTACATTTGTTTTGTGTGAAGCCTACGAGGTGTGTCAGAAAAACAAAGCCCCTCAGACAGTTTGACACCAACAAAAGCCTGGATTTTAGAGCCAAACTCCACCTGAGGTTTGTTTTGAGCCAGTATTTATATTTCCTTGGGGCTTGTCACTCAGCGGTCAAGTTCCTAGAGGTAAATGTGATGTGGACAGGAGAGCAGAGGTATAAATCCTGCTGCCACAAAGCCACTGTCCTTCATTCAAGCTTTGCTTCAACCCCATTAAAGCCATCCAACAACAGCTCTCTGCTCATCTACGAGTCAGTTCGTTAACACAAACAAAAACAACCATGTCCAACATGACCAGATGCCACTCAACAGCTTCTGAGTCTGGATGGAGAGAATCTGTATGCTTGTGTGTTTAAGCACAAATTGGTCAATGGGAGAGAAGCAGCTGCTTAAGGTGATTTTCAAAGGCAGGGAAATCCCCCAGCATGACTTGCAGAGGTACTGCATAACCAGTAGGAGAAAACCAGTGGCCCATCAATCAAACCATTTTTGGACCAAATGCTGCAGCTTCTATGTCTCAGTGCCATTCAGAAGTAGTTAATACTGAATGGCTGATTTGCTTATAGATGTTTAAATACATTTAACACACACTAGTAGACAAAATTTTTGATGTTAAAATGAAATTAAGTGGAAAGTTTAGCATGTTTATCTGATAAAGAGTGCAGAAGCTGGCCCTAATTACATTTTTTTATTCTTGTGACATGAAGGCAATAAACAGAAAACCGTAAAAACCTAGGTATGAATAGATTTTGACAAATAACAATCTGAGGAGTTTATAGCGCTCCAATTTCTAAAATCTCACAGTAGTCTGTGCAAGTTTTTACCACTTTGTCAGTTTCACATTACATGATTATTTCAGCAGTAAAATAAAATACATCTTGCTGGACTTTACCTCTAAATGCTCCTGAAGCACTTGAAATGATGGCTGGTATTTAGGTTTATAAACAATTCAATATGAATAAATAACCGAACAATTTTCTTTTAGAAAATAATTTTACATGAACACAAATTTCAGTAGCCTGGCCAGCTCTGCCAGTGCTTCCTTATGGGAAGACCTTTGTGTAGAATAAGCAGAGGGTGAGACTGGCAAGCTAGAACATCAGCAACTACCTATCAGATGGGCACGGGCTGGTAGGAACTAGTAAAATACTTTAGAAGTTACTTTAACATGATTTAAAAATCACATTATTACAGTCCTTTATCATTTTATATAGCTTCATGTTTGGAATCATTCAATAAAACATATCCATAGTTTAGGCTGATGAGTGCAAAAGCCTTAGAAGAACAAGAAGAAATCATTTTTTAAAATAGCGCCTGTCAAGATAAAAATCACAAGGCGCTTCACAAGAACAAAAAATAATAAGAGAAAATAAATTCTATTATTAAAAAATATTTTAACGATTTAAAAATATTATAATAAAATTTTTTGGTACATAGAAAATTTTCAATTTGAAAAATGTGAGGAAAGAAAATGAATTAGAAAAGGCAATCCAGGCTTTAATAGAGTCTAAGCAGGTGTGTAACAGCTGCAGCTCATGGGGTTTAAAGGAGATGTCAGCTGCATAAAGATGGTAGGAGATTCCTTTAAAAGAGCTCAGCAAGTGCTGGGGAGGGAGCAGTTAAAGGATGGACAGTAGAGGCCACAGCACAGAACCTTGTGGGACACCTTAGGTGAGGGAGGTGGAGGAAGACCGAAACCTTGGAGACGGCCACAGAGAAGGAACACTCAGACAGATAAGAGGAGAACCACTCCAGAGCAGATCCTGATAGGCCTACCCCGTCTCTCAGCCTCTCCAGTAGCAGGTGATGGTCAACAGTGTCAAAGGCTGCAGTCAGGTCCAGCAGGACCAGAACAGAACAGTCCCCTGCATCACTGTGGATCAGAAGGTCATTAGAGACCCTAAGAAGAGCTGTTTCAGTAGAATGAGCTCTACGAAAACCTGACTGGAAA